GGGGGTGTGAGTGTGTTGGGGGGGGGTCAGGCGCTGGGGAGGGTTTCGTAGGCCCAGGAGCTGCTGAGAGCGCTCGAGGCCGCGTGGCTGAGGCCACCTGGGGAGCGACGTCACGTTCGGGGGAAGGCGGCAGGTGCCTGCTTCACCCCGACCCCGATACCTGGTTTGTGGATGAGATGCGTTCAGATGCCGCGGGCCACCTCATCTCCCACAGCTGACCCCCCCCGGCGGGGCGGCAGGAGGGACCGACCAGCCCTGCTGCACCCGCGCGCTCCTTGCGGGGGGGCCCACACAATTTATTTACCAGATTTTTGCTTTTTGCAACAGAACGAAATATTTGTGTGTCAGAGCAGCGACGTCCCCCAGCCTGGCCCTGTGCTCTCAGCTGCGGCGCTTCGGCGAGCTCCGGCGCCTCTCCCTTGTCTCATCTCCTAACGGCTGGTAGCAGGTTTATTTTCCGTGTCACTCGGGACCGAGGGCACACGCTGCTCGGGCCGGGCCAGGCTGCGTGCGTCCCTGAGCCAGGCGTGCTGAGGGCTTGCGCCGTCGGACGGCGATTCCCCGCCGCTGCGCCTCCGTCTTCGCCAGGAGTCGGGATTCACCTCCAAAACTTCGCTCCCAGCCCACGGGACGCAGCGGCGGGGCCCTGCCGTGGGTCAGAGGTTTTCCAGCCCGTGCTGGCCGTGCCGCTTCCATCGAGACGCTCGTCGGACTCGATGGAGCTGCCGCCGGCACGTGCAGCCGCCGGGGGAGACGCGAGGGGCGGTTTGCTGTGGGGAGGGTGACGGCAGCTTCTCTTCTGCCTGTCCTGCTGCTCTGGTGGGGCAGGAGCAGGAAGGGTCCCCCAGGGATGTGCCACCACCAGGCTACGGGGCGGGTGACATGCACACCGCCTCGGCTTGGGGGCCTCGCGTTGTTTTCTCTGGCCGAATGCAGACGGCGAGGCGCTGGAGGGTGTAAGCAGGAAAAATAAAAAGGTGGTAATGGGGTTTCCCTCCTGCACCGAGGTCTGGGGCTGCCTGCCCTGCTCTGCCATGCCAAAGCTGTCCCCACCACCATCTCGCTCGCTGCAGCAGCGGGCAGGAGATGTCCCAAAGCCGGGCTGAGAGCAGGCGTGACGGTAGCCCCGCTGCCTCCCGGCCCAGACAAAATCACAGCTTCAGAAATAAGATGTAAAATTATCAGGCCCTTGAGCCACGCTCCTCTGAGCCCTTTTCCAAGCAGCAATCCAGGCGCGATTGAATTGCCACGTGTACAAAGATGCTGAGGAGGCTGACCCGGGTGGATCGCCCACCCTGCCCCTCACCTGCTTGAGGGACCCCGGTGTCCAGACGAGCTTGTACACCATGTAGACGGGGATGCAGACGAAGGACGAGGCTCCGATGAGGGACCCCACCGAGATGCTCCACTCGGGGTACTGGTAGTCGAAGAGCGTCAGAGGTGGCTGCTCCAGGAGGGAGCTGATCACGATGAACTGTAACGAACGAAGCGGGGTCGTTAGGGGAGGATGCTCGCGGGGCCAGACCGCAGCAGGATGTGCCCCACTGCCTGGCACAAGCAGCACAGGGCTGTACAGCGGCAACACCCCCCCCAACACAATGTGGGTGTCCAGAAAAGCTCTTCTGGGCCAGCCGAGCATCCAGGTGGGCTGTGGCATCGCCCCAGCCCCTGCTCGTCCTGTCGGTGAATGCCAGCTGTCCCCGCGGGGGCCAGCGTGGACACTGCGGGGACATTTCCCAGGCTGTCACCCCTCGCCAGGTGTGGGCTGGGAGGCCTTCACCTCACCCCACCGAGACGGTGGCCTGCGCAGGCTGCGCGTCCCTGCGCTGAACTGAAATCGTTTGCTGCCTGCTTTGATTATAACACTTCTCTCTTAATAACCTGGGCAAAGCACTTAGAGCTGTAATTAATCCTCCCAAGGCCTCTTCTCCTGCAGATCTGGAGAGATTAGGCCCCTCTGCCTCTCGCAGACGGCAGCCTTTGAAGTGCTGGGGGAGCTGGCGTTTCAAAGGGGACGGATCCAGCCCGGCACACAGCCCCGCGCTGCCCCCAGAGCCCCCCCCGTGGCCGCTCACACCGGCGCAGGAACCCGCGGCCCAGGAGGATGAAACGAGGCTGCACTTGTGCCCGTGTGAGCACCCAGCTGCCGGCTCCCTGCTTTCCCCTGAAGCTGCAGAAGAGGCTGGAAAAATGTATTTCCAGCTGCTTTCCTTGGTGCCACCCGCCG